GGGGGAGGGCCTTCTCTGTGGGTGCCCCCACCCTCTGGAACGAACTACCCCCCGAGATCCGGACGATTCCGGACCTCCTATCTTTTCGCCGCGCCCTCAAGACATGGCTTTTTCAACAAGCGGGTCTGGCCTAGGGAGAATTTTAAATAGGGACAATTTTAATTCGAATCTTAATAACTATACAGCGACAAATATTTGGCTTTTAATTGGTTTTATGGGGGATGGCGTTTGTGTGTTTTAATATGCTGTAAGCCGCCCTGAGTCCTATAGGGAGAAGGGCGGCATATAAGTTTATGTAAATAAATAAATAAGTATGTGAAAATGAGTTGTCAATTTGTTTATTAAATTAGAATATATTGTTTAAAATGTCAATGTGTATTTCTCAGATTTAGTGCTTTCGCCACCATACACATTGAACAATACTTCAAACAATTTAATTAAAAGACAATTATCTGTAACTGTAACGCTTGACACTCCCTTCAAAATTTAACAGACTGCTTCCTGATTTAGGTCTAGACCAATTATAATTCATTTTTTAAGAAACATTGACAGTCCTAATTTTATTATATCTTTCCCTCCCAAAATAATAGAACATAGCTTAAATTCAAGCTATATTCATGTGTATAAACAAAGAAATATGCCATTTTGTAAGGTGAAAGTATCTAGGCAAACTATTTTATTTATCTAGGCCTTCTCTCTTTACCACAACGATCAATGTGGTACTCAGTAGAACTAATTTATGCAAGTCACTGATGTTACCTAGTTGGGTAATAAAACTTCTTCAAGAAAACAACGAAGCTCAAAAAGCACCAGGAATTCCATGTTTCAGCCCTGAACTATAGATAATTATCTTCCATTGGAATCCAATTATCATCTCATTTTTGTATGCTGTTTGTCAAATTTATTTGTCAAAAATTTAGATATTGCACATCTCACTCTCAGAGTGGCTATGTGTTAGTGACTCTATATTAGTTATTTATCTATTAACATCCAGATAGCAAATTTAAGCCAGACTTACAATCTGGTCAAACACCCATCGTGTTAGCCTCACTTTCAAGAGCACTGATTTCTACCTAGGTATGTATGAGAATGCTGTTTTGATCTAGTTCTTTTAGATCAAATGCAAAAAAGAAAGTATTGGAAGCAATCATGAAATTTTTATTTGCCAGAAAGATGCAACTGTGATTCATTTGCTTTTCAAAGAGCTATCAATGAAATGCTAGTAATCATCATAAAAATCATTTAATTGTCTTGACAGTCTTACTACAAAAAGACCATAAAATTATAAATATATGCCTCATTTTAAAAATATACTAAAGATATTAAGTTTGAATGCAAATCTGGTTTAAAGAAAACTGAGGGGAAAAATCACATTGTATCAAGTAATAGAAAGATCTATGTCCTTGACATTTTGATGAATTAACCACATTTATATTTTCCTATTGTGTTAAAGCATTTGTGGCATATTACCTACCTTTTCATATATTTAGATTAGAAGGAACATTTACTTGTCCCAAAAAGTTAAAAAAAAGTTTGATTTGTATATATAGTCACTCCTTTAAATGACTCTTAAGAATCATGGGTCACAGGATCATGAGAACAACTGTAAAAGCAATGAAGCTCACAACACCTGGGGGCTCACTTCCAATTACTGGAAAAGGGTAAATATGCAAGCAAAAAAATATCTAAAAACAGAGATTTTGCATTTAGGTTCTCTAGTTAACAAAATTCCTGTTTTGTTATTGCGTGAAAGCCACGATAGCTTTTTCTGAAAGATCTCATGAATGTTCTATCTCTTTGCCAATTTCTAACCCAGAGGTACCTTCAAGTCCTGCTCCAAACTACGAAGAAGTTCTCCATCAATCTCTCCAGTTTGTGCATAGCGAAGCCTTTTGCGCTCTGCCTTCCGAAGACGATACTGTAGAATCCTACAATTTTTGTTAGCCCTCTCCAATTCATGGCGCATTTCCTGTAACTGGCATGCATCCTCTTCAAAAAAGCTGTCCCTCATCTCATCCATTTCAGTTCTCAGCTCATCTATCTCATTCTGGCATCCAATGAGAAGAGGTAGAAACAACATTATACAATGGTACTTCATATAGGCTTTTTTTTTTTTAAAGGAAAATGAGATGTAAGATAATTTATACGCATTTTATGCATTTTTACAAGGAAATTGAGATTTGAGATCACACGGATGTATCAGTTAATCCCTTATGCATACTGAATGAGTATTCCCATGCTTTGACACCTGTATCAATCTATGATAAAATTATAGTAGGTATTAATTTACAATCTTGGCATCAGAAGTCCAAAGTATGTGTCACGGTTTATCGAATATATATGAGGATACTATAGATATTAGAACTTTCAAATGAATGATGGTAAGCTACTTCTGAATATGTTATCAATAATTGTACAGTATAGTTAGATTTTTAAACAGATCTTTTAAACATACTCCTTTTCTCTGCAGCAGAAATAAACTGTGGTGTAAAATATTATGTTCTGAAAAATAAAATAAAATTACATTTTATTCAGTATTCTGCTTAACACACTAGAGCAAGATCGTTTCTCAACATATCAATCACTTATTGTCGTAAACAAAAACATGTATGCAGTAATTGAGGAGCATGGACCAGAGAAGCATCACTGAACAAATCATATCTGTCTTTTTCTATCATAAAAATTACCTACAGAAAATCACAGTCTGGGCTCACACTCTAGTAAATCATAAAATGCTTTGTTTAAGTTGGCTTGGAATGTCATCTGGGCCCAGCCATTGTGGCTTGTATTGTAAAGGACCACAATGGTTCCCTGCAATGGATGAGGTCCAGGGAAAAACCCATAGCTTAATAAAACCATCTATTGATCATATCTGAAATGATCAGCTTTTCCAGGCCGCCCTTCAACATCTGTTAACAAGTTTGGGAGGGCAGAAGCCTCATCTCTAGAAAACAGAAAGGAGTGTTTTGATCGACTGATACCTTTCCTGGGCAATACGTGATGGGGGGGGGAAGGGCAAATATCGACGCTCATTAATACTCCCCCCTCCCAACGCATCTAAGATAATAGATGGACGAAGGGCCTTATTGCTGAATTGCACGCCTGTAACGTAATGCGGGTTCTTATTTGGAGAATAAAAGATCCCCCATCCTCAATTCCGGCTGGGCCACACCTTCCTTCGCCCCCTCATCTCCTCTCCCCCCCCCTCGCTCACCTTGAGGGTGTCATTCTCCTCCCGCAGTTTCTCCACCTCCTCCAGCAGTTCCGGGGGACGCCGAGGGCTCAAGCTGAAGACGCCATCCGGGGCCCGACCACGGCCATTGCCCTCTCCGACCCCTCCCGGCGCCATTGGCGACGGGAGGGAAGAGGAGGAGGAGACCGCGGAGGGGACACCGCCGTCCAGGTCGCCGCCTGGGCTTTGCATCTGGGTCGCCGCGCCGCCCTTTTCTCGCGACCGAAGGAGAGACGCTCACTTTGCAACAAGCATCCTCGTGCTTTGCTGCCGCCGCCCACCCCCCACCCACTCCCCTTCCGCCGGGGCCCAGCCCAGCCCTGCCCTGCCCTGCCCAGCGAGAAGGATGGAGAAGCCGGGTCGCTTCCAGTTGCTGGGAGACACAGCAGAAAAACACACACACACACACACACAAACAGAGCCGGCTTTGCCCCTGCCTTCTGGTCCCGAGTGGCGGCTGCGGGGGCTGCGAGCTCGACGTCTCTGGGAGGTCTCTGCCGCTTGTCGGCGGCTTGTCCCCTCCCACTCCTCCTCCTCCTCTTCCCCCACCCTCAGCCCCGCCGGGATGTGGCCGGGGCTGCTGCCGCGCCGGTAGAGGGTGCTGGGCAATGGGGTTCTGGAGGTAGGCTCCGCCGCCACAACAACAACACAGCTGCTGAGGCGTCTGTGCCGGGGGGGGGGGGGATTAGCAACTGGGGAGAGGAAGGCTTCGCGCGGTGGAAGGGATGCCCTCGTGGCTTCTCCTTTCGGCGGCTGGAAAGATAGGAGCGGGTCCAGCCAAGGCTTCGTCTTTTTCCCCCCCGAGATGCTGGCTGTCGCCGCTTCCCTCTCGGAAAGGCCCGGCTCTCTTCCAAGTCCTGCGCGTCCTCTGAGGGCTCGCGTGGAAAAATCACCGCAGTGCCGGGCCAAAACCGTTGTAGGAAGAAACTGCTGAAGTTTTAGTCCCTCAATTTAATCCCTGTTAAGACAACTTGATTTGGACGAAGTCGGTGACTTTGGTTTTCTTTTTTGTTGCAGGATTTCTTTATATATATTTTTTGAACGGAAGGTCTCTGTTGCTCAAGGAACGGATACAACCTTTCTTTTTATCTTTAAATTCTTTCAATTAAAAAAGGGTGAAGCTAGTGTGTTGTAGAGTACCTGCCTCAAGCGTCAACTATCTTTCAAAAAAAAAAAAAATACTTCCAGGCCCCACATACGTGCTGGAGGCAATCTAGATAAATAAAAATGAAAGGGGACTGCATTTCATTGTTTTGTTTTGGAATCCATCTATTTAGTAGAAAGCAGAAAGCAAGATTGATACAGTGCTTTGCATTCTAGCATGAGAGAGTTGCTTAGCTTTGTCCATCATGGCAACAGTTCTTTGAAGATGGCCAATATGCTTGAAAATACGAAACGTGCTCTCCCAATCAAATGATTGGCACCATTCTATTTACAGATAAGATGTTGAAATAATATTAGTTTAATATTAAATATTAAGATTAAATAATATTAAACTAATATTAAACATCAGTTCCATAAATGAGTTACCTGCAAACCAACTTTGCAATTAATTTTCAGGAAGACCAAGCTTTAATGATTGGAATGACAACCGAGGATTTGGAAGACCCATGTACAAATCCCTACTTTGCTATGAAGTTCACAGTGTACCTTTGACTTGGTGATAATATCTCAGCCTGACTTAGTGTAAATCAGTGCAGGTAAAATAAAAGAGAGAAGAGACTTTTGGTCTTGCGCAGTAGCGCAGCAGCCAAGGGATTTCGGGGCTCCATGCCCTTTGGCTGAATTTCTTCCTGTTAGGGGACCCTAAAAGGGCCAGAAGCCACCCTGAAGAGGCGGCAAAGAAGGAAGGAAGTCCTGCGGACCATAGATGGCGGTCAACCCAATTGGTCCAGGAGAAGCCTTCCAGAAACCAACAGGAGAAAGACTAGCCTAACTTCAGAGTCTAGCTAGCCCAAGCTACAAGCAACCAAAGTCAAAAAGCACTGTTTTAAGCTGATTGTAAACAGTGCGTTTGAATCTGGGTAAGATCATCGATTTTCTCTATCCTACTTATTAACTTTCCTGGAAAAAAAAATTCCCAAGAAGCAAAAAATCTCCAAACATGAAGGAGGGGGATTTTTGCCCCATCCTTTTACTAACGGAAGCGGAGAATTAAACCTTTTATGGAGGACCAAAACTTATAGAAATGAAATGAAATGAATATAAAACCTAAATTTGGAAAAGTTTGGAATTGTTGAATGGTTAAGATTCTCATTTTAAAGGCAATTTTCTATTTTGATAATTTGAAAAATAAACTGATGATGACATCTAGTGGTGGATAAAGACTATGACAGCTATGGCTTTTATACAGGACTTGGCAAAGTCTGGAAAAAAGTAATCTGTACTTGTGACCTTCAAAGCTATAACAATAGAGAACAGCTGTGACAAAAAAAGAAAAAAATTGGGTTGCAGACAGAGGATTATAAACTTCAGGAAACCTTTTTGAATTATAAATATCTACTAAACTGTGACTCTAAAGCTATTTGCAGAGAAAAGAAAACCTCAATTCTTGACCACTATGGAAAATCAGAGACTTGCAGAAAGAACTTATCAAGAAAAAATAAATACCTTTCAAGAGAAGACATATGACAGTGGTGGCGAACCTATGGCACGCATGCCAGAGGTGGCAAATGGAGCCCTCCCTGTGGGCACATGCCATCGCCTCAGCACACGTGGTCTCTAAATGTTCGCCATCACTGACCTAAGGCCAGCCAGTCTGGAGCCGCCATTGGGGAGTCCACCATCCCACCCACCAGAGACCCCCTGGATCTCCCCCAACCCTGCCCAGCTCCCACAGGTGTCCCTCCCCATAAGCAACATCAAAGTGGCCACGCCCACCCAGGCCATGCCCACCCAGTCTGCCATGACTACTGCAGCTACACCCATCCAGTGGCCATGCCCATCCAGTCTGCCATGCTCACTGTAACTGCACCTGCCGAGTGGGCCACACCCACCCAGCACCCGGCGATACATAAGTGGGGTTTTGGGTTGTAGTTTGGGCACTCGGTCTCTAAAAGGTTTGCCATCACTGACATATGAGATGCTGCAACTAATTCAAACAACAATGACTTCAAACCACAAAGAAATCCAAAATAACTTTGAAAACATAAACCAATTCATCTCCAATTTAACTTTACAACAACAAAAAATTCCAGGAAATAACAATAGAGAAGGAGCAGATAAAATAGATAACTGAACACAAATTTGAGGATAGAGACTCAAAGATGGAACTTAACACAACAAAGAAGTATGATTTAACCCAAGTGGGAAAAAATTACAAGAAATATTGGTTTTGGAAAAGGCAACTTATACTTTAAGACCACAAGACAAATTTGAGGATAAGAAAAAAGACTGGTCAAAATGGATTGCAGAATTGTCAGGAACACCACTAGAACTGGAGAGACAAAAAATGATAAGAGATACAGAGAGAAAAAGAAAGAAAAAGATTTTCAACAAACATGAAAGAGCAAATGCCTCTTACAAAGATATTGTACTTGACTTATTTTTTATATCTACAGTGATACCTACAAGAATATGGAAAGACTCTTTGATTCAGCAGAATATATTGATTAAAGATATTGGGCAAAAGAAGAAGGCCAAAATGAAAATTAAGAAAATAGATGATAGGACTTATCAGAGAAAATATTTAAAAAAGAAACACATGTTTGAATATGGTTAAAGTAATAGAAAGATTTTGGATATGAATTTTACTTTAAGAGGGAGGAATCCCTCAAATAACATAGTACTCTCTCTTTCTTCTCTTTTCTTATCTTATTTCTTGATATGAGTAATATAAAAGAGTTAGAATGGCTTATATATAAGGACATATTTTAGACATTTAAATGTAATTGATTTTAAGAAAATTACAATGGATTAAAAAAAATGTTTTGATTAAGAGTTAAAAGACCAGATGACTAGATTTATTAAATGAAATATTTAAAGATTAAATATATTCTTAATTATGGTAAAAAAGAATGGAAAATTTTTGGAAATAAATATGTATTAGCTTAGGGAAAACATGGACTTTCAGTAGTATACAATCTTTTTATCCCTCTTTACTTTTTCTCTTTTTTTAGTCTTTTATTCCTTAAGTAAGATAAAAGTTATGGGATGGTTTACATGAGAAAAAATAGAATCAAATATTTAAATGTAATTAACTTTGAGAAAATCTTAACCAGTAAGAATGTCTTGAACATTGCGGGAAAAACAAATGTAAACAAGAACTGTAAACAGGATCTATGATGAGGCAAGCAGAATGACAAGATAGAAAAGAAATATTATATTGATGTGATTATTATTTGTGTAAATATTAGAAAAATGTTTATACTCAATTGTTATCTATCAAAACAAGTATTGTTAAGGTTGGTAAAAGAGAACATTAGTGGGAAGAAGAAGAAATCAAGTAAAGCTATTATGTGGATTATAGATCATAGAAACCAATTGTTAGCGAATGGTTTTTAAATGTAAACTCAGACAACACACTGTTTACCGAATATTAAGGTGACCATGTTAAACAATTAATAAAATATATTATAAAAAAAAATAAAAGAGAGAACAATATGCTATTTCAAATTCCTAGGGGAAAAAAGACAACATATAAGTGTCTTAGAGTTGGAAACATATTGTTAAACTTATTTTTTTAAATTTATTTATTAAATTTATTTGCTACCCAGAGTTGTTTTGTTACAAGTTGGGTGGCAAATAAATTTAATTAATAAATATAACAGTATTTTTCCAACCCTAACCCTTGGAAACATCATTTTTTAGAATCTACATGAATAATGTACCCTAGCAAAATAATACCTGACACTTCATAAATAAAACCAATTTATTGAAACTGGTATCAGGTCAAAAGGACATACGTATATATTAAATGTTTAATCTATCTAAATATAGAAACCCTTCTCTAAATTTCATTAAACAGATTACTTTACTTCTTCACAAGATAAGTAGTCCTAATGACAACAGTACAGCCCAACTCACTATGATTTTTTTTATTCAAAAAGGGAGAACACTTTTATTGTATTTCTTATGACTATATTTATTGTTAGTTAATACATTTAAATTGTAATGCTATATTGTTACAATAAGTTATA